TACTTTCATAGTGTTTTGACCCCTTTTGTGGTTAACTATTTGCCCATATTTGGGACCTTAACAGGTGCTAAGGTATGAGATGGATTCATACCTTTCCCAAGGGTATTTGTGCATAAGTGAATCTAATGAACCCGACTGAAATTCAAACTCATCTCTTCGAGTTCTCACTCTGAGCCAATATCCATTATGCCACAATGCACATCCCTGTCAATACTAACTTAAAAAAGATAGAAAATGTAGATATGAGGAGTTGCTGCTACATGAAAATGAAAACGTCAAGCAATGTGTGCAAAGGGAAAATAATTACAACCTTATCCTTCCTTAAGTACTTTAAATTTTTTCAAGAATATTCAAGTGGTTGCAACTTTTAAATTACCTTAAAATGTATAAGTTTAGTTATGAATAAAAAAATATGAACATGAACTGTTTAGTTATGAATAAAAAAAACAACATGCACTGAAATGGCAACATGTCTATACATAAAATAAAAAGCAAAGAAAAGTGATAAGGTTACATTATCACTTTAATGCAAAAACTGAATAACCCAATTTTGTGTGTAGAATAATTCTTACAGATTAAAATCATCATTAAAAGAGAAAATATTTCAGACCATGGACAAGATTAAAAACATGATAAGACATAAAAGGATAATCCACAAAAAGGCAGTGTTTTATAAAGTGAAAAGGCTGCTGAGGTCTAAAAGGGAGTACTTAAAAGTGGACTTGGGTGTCATTATCCTAGTTTGGTTATTTTTTATTTTTGTTGGTCTAAATGGCTGGATACTTTACGGACAGATCTAATAAAATTTGTCATATTTTCAATTTTTAAAAAAAATACAAGTATTATAAAAAAAAAAAATTGTCAAGAAAGATGTACAACCAGCAAGACATTTGAGAAAATGCAAGTTATTAAGCATACCATAATTTCCATGTCTAAAATAAAGAAAATTTACAAAATTTATTTCTCTTTTTCTTGTATAATAAAGTATTTTCATGACATAACACTCCTTAAACTTTACAGCTCACACACAAAATAATACTTATAGATTGTATCATGTGGACAGACCTATCAAACCAGGACAGTTCTGGTGAAGTTTAAGTTATCTCTTTTTGGGGAAGTGTTTTAATTCATTGGAATTCAATTCTCTTTTGGTTTTGAACACCCAGATCTTTCTTAGTTGTATTTTTCTTTTGTACCTAAGAATTGATTTTTATATGATCACTGTAAAAAATAACCTGTAGTGATAGCAACAAATAAATCACTAAATAACCTCTAACCCCGTAATATGTAGGAGTATGAAACCAAAATAAAAAATAATTAATAATAAAAGAAAAATTTAAAGTTAAGTAATAAAATTACTTCAGATTATAGCTAAAAATGATAATTAAGAATAAAAAAAGGAAAAGTGAGATCATGCACCAGAATAGGTGTTTTTGCCATCAATTGAAACAGAAATCAAAATTTTCTTTCTCTTTATCTTCAACAGCTGAACAAAACAGATGTTTGGAGACAACATTCTGATAGTGCATGTTACTACCAAACCAGATAAGCAAAAACATTTTATCTCGTATACGTATATGTACTTTAAAATAAATTATCTTTTCTGGAAAGCCTTTTATCATTTTTTGGTTTTGCTTATTATGTTGTATCTTGTATATGATTTGTTTTAATTTAAATATTTCCGTTTTGGGGCTGATGATGTCTCTTTAACCTGCAAGCAAAATTATGTATAAGATGTAAACTCAGACAAGGCCAATGGATAACAGAACCGACAGTAAACCTTTCACCTAATCATTTTGATTTTGGAATTGATTGTGACCAACAGCTGATCATTTAATATTGTAGATGGAATATTAAACTGTCATGTTTGTGAATAAAAAATTAAAATATATATTAATTAAAATTTGGTAAAATGGACAAATTAAACAGATTCAAATTATGGGGGACACATTATTAGAACATGTTCTATTAATTAATCAGTTCCATACAAAATAAAAACATTTTCTTATTAAAAAATTAATAAGATACACTATCCCTATGAAGTGATTACCAAATTAAAATGAAATTTAATTATCTTATCATTTATGGAAAAAAATAAAGATTACGCATCATTCAAAATGTATATCAGATTAATAATCTGCAAAATTTCAACTTTTAAGCATAGATCAATATTATTAGAAATTCTATACTATTTGCATAAGATGTAATCCCATAGTACATTTTCTGTTAAATATTTGCACATCTTGTTTTTAATACTACAACTGCACACCAGGAATAAAATACAATGTATCAAGTACCTAGTCTGAGTAAAAGTCTGAACTTAAGTAGTAAGAGGAGTCATTAAGATATTTTTGTGTCTTATCTATTTACTATTGTATAAAAACTGGACCCCCGACACATATATAATTAAGGTATATTTAGGCAGCAAGTATTCATTCAAACAAGTTTAATATTTTATTGTATTTTTCCAATTTTTAAATGGAGTGTTGTGTATTGGCATAAAAATTGTGGATAAACTGTCCAGTGTTTATGTTTGTACCTATTTTTTTTCAAGTGCTTTCAATTGTGTTAGTCATTTCCAAGAACCATTGTGATATCTGTATGGTAGGCAAGATTCTATTGACTACATCTTGGTATTTGGAAAGGTGAAAAATTTAAAATAGTCCATGTTGATGTAATGGTTAATAGGAGTGAGGCCACACCAAAATGTATGTTGGTTCTTTATTTATATATATCCATTAAATATATTATACATCAAGTTACTGTCTTATGTAGTGAAAAATGTGTATTTTGTTTAAAAATAGCTTCAAGAGTTTTTCCTTGTATTGGGTACTGTATATTATTACATTAAACTTGTTTGTATATATATATATATATATATATATATATATATATATATTTATTTATTTATTAAAGAAAAACCAAAACAATTCACGGAATCAACAGACAACTTGCCGAAAGACTTAAATACCCTTAAGATAAAATCTCAAAAGAACATCAAAAAGAAAAAATGAAAAAGACCTAACACCTACCTACTCAGTAAATTAAAGTGCTCAACACCTAGATCAAAATTTCTCAACCTGGGCCATATGGCCTCCTTGGATGCCATGAGATATCTTTAGTGGCTATGAAGGTAAAGTTTGAAAAATGGGGACAGGGCGCAGAAAATTTAGGACCCACAAAATATATATAGGGAGTATTTTGTAATTAATAATTATTATTTAAAATAAAATATTAAATTTTTTATTAAGTTAAATATTAAATTAATCAAAGCCATTTTGTTAACAAATATTTATTTATTGTAATTTTTTCATCTGATCTATGCAAAATAGCAGATTTTAGTTTTCAATTTCTTAAAATTTAAAACTCATAATTTAAAGTTTAAATTAAGGTATGTTTTCACCAACTTATCTTTCAATTTTGAAAAGCTAAATGTCTTGAACAAAGAACTCCAAGGAAATGGCTCCACCTTGTTTTCCTGCAAGGAGGCAATTAACGCATTTAACAGGAAACTAAAGCTGTTCTGGTTGAACCTTGGGAGATGGGAGTTTGAACAGTTTCTTTCTTTAGCAAATATATTCACCAAGCCGCTTGATGATGACCTCGCAGTGCATGTTGATTATTTGAAGCAGTTGTATAATGATATGAAAACTCATTTCTCTGATCTACTTCAAATGACAGTGCTGCACTGGGTTGTGGATCTCTTCATTGCTGATGTATCTGAACTTGATATCACCCTACAAGAAAGTTTCATTAAACTTCAAACTAACACAGCAGCTCAAGTGAGGTTCAAGAGTGGAGGATACCAGAAGCTGTGGATGAATGAAGACATGCATAAGAATTACCCACTTCTCAGGAAAGATGTGAAGTTTCTCTTACTTGCTTTTTCCACATCTTACTCCCTTGAGTCTGGTTTCAGTCAGATGATGCAGCTGCTGTCAAGGACTTGATATCTTTGACATAGAAAAAAGAAGTGATTTATGTCTCTGATGGCTTTCAAGCCAAACATTGACAATTTAGCAGCCCTGCAGAAATCACAGGGATCCCATTGAAACCATACAAGATAGAGCTGATGGTACATGTATTTTTTTTTATTTGTAAATTAAGGAGTTTATTTAAATAAAATATTTATCCAAATAATATTATTCTTTCATTTAGAACTGGATTTAGTGTTTTAATGCCATAGTACTATCCAAACTACAATCTTGACAGCATTAATTCCTATGAAAGAATGGCCCTAGATGTAATCCAAGTTTCATGCTCATATGATCTTCAGATGACTTGAATGCAAATGAAAGAAATGGGACCCCTTTTATAATCCATTCTTTAAAGCATCATGGGTTGGGGGAAATAAAACAAAATAATTTTAATTAAAAACCCATGGATAACCACACCCCCACAGAGGAAAATATATTTGTTTGTCAAATCACCTCAACAATTTCTTGATTATAAAATTTTGTATTTCCACTTTATCTGCTTTCTTCTATTTCTTTTCCATTTTTTGTGGATGAGTTGAATATTTTTACAAGGACAAATTTTCACTCCTTCAACCTTCCACAAGTTTACATTCCTATATATTATCTTTATATATATGACTGTAAGTATCTATGAAAATTTTAAAGAAAATTATGTCAAATTAATTTGAAATAGATTGTAAGTGGGATGTTTTTAAATTATGATTTAAAATAGATTATAATTAGGATATTTTTTAAAATATGAATTCAAATAATCTTTCATTATTATAAAGTCTTTGTAGTTCTATTTTGAAAAACTGTTTTACCAAAGTATAAATACATTTACAATTGTAATTATATTTTAATAGTAACTGATTTCAAATATACAACGAAAATAATTCTCTCAATGAAATTTACTTTTCGCATGTTTCAATGGCCTTGACCCAAACTAGCAGTTTTGATTCTAAAATTCCTTTATCAGTTGACCTACAGGGAGAACATTCACAAAAATAAACTGCAAGAGTTGTTTCCCTTATTAATTCAAACATGGCTGCTCTACTAGACTTCCTCAGACAGCTGATTCAGTTTTTTATTACTGCATCTTGCTATGATGAGATATTTGTCCGGCACAACTTTTTCCATGGTATGTAAAAATGATTCTTTTTAGTACAGTAGTTTTTTTTTTAATCAATCATGCTTGTGTCGTAGAAGCAGTGGCTTGTGTAAGTTGCCTAAGAAAAGGGAAGAAATTATTGATCATAACGTGCGTATCCAAGTTCGATTCCAACCGGCATTTTACTTATCTTCTTGCATACGGGACAATGCTACTGTTTTGTAGTTTTTTTCTTGATATTTTGATATAACTGTTTGTAATCGTAACGGTAAAATAGTAGGACTATTCGTTTTATTGAACAAGCAAAAATTGAGTAGAGATTTGCGATCGATACGATCGAAAAAACAAGTCAAAGTGAAAGACTTTTGAAATCACTGCATATAGTGTTTGATAACGTTTGTTAAAAATATTACTTTTTTTTTTAAAAAAGATATATTTTTTAATAATATCTTTGTTTCTTTTAAAGCTTAAAAACCCTTTTTTTTTCTTTTTCGTGATACTAACTACCTTATAAAATCGAAGAAGATTTTATTCGATTATCCTTTGCTTTACGAGCACATATGGCCCATTTGGGACTAAACAAAAAAAATAAATAAAAACAATTTATTTTCAAATATTTTTTTTATTATGTTTATGATTTTCTTGAAAGGAATTCCTGCACGGAGTAAAAATAGACTGAACAAGTGAAAACTTTATCTGATATAGAAAATAAAAAGGGAAAATGAAAATTATTTTATCCTCCCACGTCCCACGTCATCACTAAAAAGAAGCTTAGTTCGTGTAAAATAATTTTTGCATGAGTGTAAGTGTAGAGTGTGACGTATATTAATGATTTTATTAAAGTTAATAAAGTTCAATGGTCAAGAATCGTAGCGAATAAAACAGATGATTTCTAAGATTAAGAAGGTTTACTAAACTTTACTTTCTAGATAATCTCTTTTTACCTGTTATCACAAAATTTTCATGAAATAAAACATTTAAACGTTTCTGTTTAACTAATCTTGTAAAATCTGTATTTGCAAGTAACTTCATAATTTTTCTTTCTTAAACTGTGATCACACATTTTGGTTGTTGTACTCCCAACTTTTCTTCCATTGTACCTACCGGCCTTCATGTTATTGTATTCGGTAACATCGGAATTTTGAACGAAGACATTATTCAATACACGGTGGTCTCATTTTGTTCTCCATGGTTAGGGGATATTTCATCTCCGTTAATACTCATCAGTATTCAGCTTTGTGCCGTTTCTTCCTTTCTTCCACTGGGTCTAGTTGTGCTGAAAAGTCACATGCTCTGGTTCAGTGGAAGAAACGAACAAGCGACGCAAAGGGGAATAAAACGGGCGAATATTATTATGAAATATGACCTAAGCATGGAAAGTAGAATGAGAACAATATATCATAATTGAATAAGGATTTCAGTTCACAATATTGTGACAGTTATTAAGTAAGTATGACAACAGATACCTGAAGAAGGTTGGAAGGTAAATTGGCCAAAACATTTCTGAATATAACAACCAAAATGAACAAGCTGGACTGGATAGTAAAGCATATAATAATAATAATTCTTCATTGCAGAAATTTCTACATAAAATAATATAGCTATTTTGAAAATTTACCTCATTGTAACTGGCTATACTGAAATATCTATCTATCACGCATTTTCCTCATATCTATTATAGTCTGTTCGCATCTATCAAAATATATATATATATATATATGTGTGTATATATATATATATATATATATATATATATATATAAACAGGTAATAGGTCCTTTGGTTTATAATCCAGGTGGATCCTAGGAATAACAATTTTGAAATTGATCCACAGAGAGCTCAATGTCTTTATTGTAACAGAGCATATATATATTTTTTATGGTAAAACAAATAAGGTAATTTTGTTTTTTACTATATATATATATATATATATATATATATATATTTGTACAATCAAGCAAGGCACCACAAAACTAAAGTGTAGGGAGAGAGCTAAGTTAGATTTTAAAGATTCCTGATTCTGTATTTTTTTTTTTTTTTATCCGATCCTCTCATAAAATAAACATTTTTACATCAATAATCCTAGTCATTTTTTGTTTTTCCTATGTCTTCTCATTCTTGACTTTATTCCTTTTAAACTTTCCCTTGCTTCTTCTCTTTTGATTTAGTTTTATTCTTTATTTATCAAGCAGAGCACCACAAAATAAAAATAGAAACTAAATCAGATGTTAAAAGTTGTAGGACCTAAATCAGATATTAAGTTTGAAAGATTCCTTGTTTTAACTGATCCTTTCATGAAATGAACATATATATATTTTTATAGACTTTTCTGCATATAAGAATTATATGGAAGCTTTAGTAAAAAGAAAATTAAATTTTTTGATTCATTTTAAATATTAAGGTTGGTAATTATTTTTAGACAAATGATACAACTCTCCTAAAAAGCATTATCATAGGTTTAGACCAAGAAGTTAAGTTTAGTCTTTTGTTTCCTTCTCAGTTTCAGCAAAAAATGTGCATGAAGGGGCTGATGTCTCCTTTCTCATAGCACAGTGGATGCTGTTAAGTTGTTGACTCAGCATTATCAACAAAACTGATATCACTTATTCACACTGTAAAATATTCCTTGGCATAGCCTAGCACAAATCTGTAAAATTGACATTTTATATTTAATCCTAATCTAAGCTTAAATAATCCTAAATGAACAAAATTTGATTTAAACTTATCCTAATTGTAGAATGAGTGATCTAATGGAGAAACAAGTACTTAATAATAAAAATGAAGAGTTAACTCAATTAAAATGAAGCAAAATGTCAGAAATATCATATTGAAATATTCAAATCAAGTAAAATGAGCCATTTTTCAATCAATAATAAATATAAATTCTCATTTACATTATATTCAGATTAATCTCCTCATTGTTGTGCTTATTATCACTATGGTTTAAATGTTGTGTGCAGGTAAACTTCAGGGAATTTTGAACTGAATACTTTATCTAATCTATGAGGTTAGATTGTTCGGCAAACATGGACAAATGTGCCTATAATAAGACGTAATATCAAAAGGACAGTTTTTCCCATGGTATCGCTTTATTAACTACCTTTGATCTTTGGCAATGTTTATTGTTTTAAAAAGTGATGATTAGAAGTGGAATAAAGCCTAAACATATGATAAAAGTGAATTTATTTATTTATCTTTTTGAGAATTTACAAGAAAAATATTAAACACTATTTATTATTCCTATGTGCTGTCTCCCCTTGGTACATAAGCGATTACGGCTCTCCACAAATTCCTGTCCTTTGTAGCTCTTAATAAATTTTGTCTTTTTGTTATTTATCCTAAATAATGTTTTACCATCCATTATCTCAAGCTTGTGAAATATGTTATGCATTGTTTTCCTCTGTCCCTCTCGCTTTCAGTCTGTGCTGTGAGTATCAGATTTTCCATTGCCTCTTTCCTTATTATTGGCCCCTAGAAATTTCAACTGTCTCTTCTTGGTGTTAAGTATAAGTTTCATTTTTGTTTCCATTTTCTCTAAAACTTTGTTGTTGCTTACATGTTCGGTCCATAGTATCCTCAACATCCCTCTGTAGAACCACATTTCTGTTACTTCAAGTCTCTTCTTCATCTGTGAGGAGATTGTCCAGTATTCACTGCCATAGAGGAGGACAGATATCACATCACAGTTCTGTACTTTTTTTCCTTGTTTCTAATGAAGTTTTTCTGTTTCTTCAATACTCTGCCTAGCTTTTGGAATGCATCTTTGGCCATCCCAGTGTGCCTTTGGATTTCATTGTTGCACTTTTCATCTTCTGTTAAAAATACTTCCCAGATATTTTTTTTTCTACTTGTTTAATTTTTGGTATCTCTGATTTGTAATTTGCACTTTGGTCTAATCCTTTTGCTAACATCCATGCATTCTGTCTTCTTGCAGTTTTGATGTTTAATCTTTTTCTTTTTCCTTCTATAGAAATTTTTGTATTTTTCTTTCCATGTCTGCTATCAGCACGGTCATCTGCATATCTTATGTTGTTAAGATTGTAGCCATCAATAATGAATCCTGGTAGGACTCCTAATTCTCTCAGAATCATCTCACTGTATAGGTTGAATAAGCCACATCCTTGTCTTACACCTCTTTCTATTTTTGTATATCTGTTGAGTTCATTTCCTATCCATACGCAGATGGTTTGCTGCCAGTATTTGTTCTTGATTATTCTAATATCCTTCCCAAATATGTCAAGGTTGCTGAGCAGTTCCAACAGTTCATTGTAGTGTACTCTATAAAATACAGGTACATATACTTCTGAATCTGTATTGCTCTTTTTGATAACATTCTGAGATTGTTTGTTTACAAGAATAATTTTATATTTACATGTGGTGGACATGAGACAGAACCTTGGGACGAGCACAACTGGTCGCGACTTGCCTTGTCCCTGCCAAAAAAGAGCCCGTGTTTGCTTAGCATGTAAAGCTACTGCAGTTGAAATGAGGGAGAAAAAAGCACTTACCGCTCTGCCGTAATCCGTCCTCGGCCAGATAACGTAAAAAGAATGAGGGGGACTTGCATTGCATTTTTATGCAATAAAGATGCAATGCATTATGGGACATGGACGCAATGAACTATGGGATCACATGAAGACGCAAGGGATTATGGGTATATGGACAAATATAAAAGCAACTACTTTTTTCCCCAGTGGGGCAGTTCTTCGAGTGACGTTCACGGTTGGCGGCAAGAACAGTCTGTTAGTGTGATTTTGAGACAGAACTCAAGAAGGAATGACTCAAGGTTGAAATATCAGCAGGGAGAGCTTGAATTTACTCGCTGGTTGCTGTTTTTCTTTATTCGCCTCATTACAACGTTCTAAAAAGTAATACATTAAAAATAATATAATGCAATATTTATCATTTATCAATTTATAAAGAAATAAATATGAAAACAATTTTTTATTCATAAATTTATAAACATTTACTGAATTATTAAAATATGAGAAACAACTATAAGGAAATCCTTATTATTTATTGATTTTTAAA